GAATGCCCAGCCGGGTTGAGTATTCATTGATGTGTCCATTGCCACGAGTTCTTGTTGTTGATGTTGTTGTTGACCCACCTGGGCGGCGCTGCCTGCGTCAGCGGCGCTGCCGCTGGTGCCTTTTGTCCCCCACGGTCAACACGGCGGGGGGCGGGGAGGGTGGGGGGGGCTGAGGGGGGGGGGGCGGGGAGGGTGGGGTGGGCTGGTTGACCGGTCCCGGCAAAAATGGTGATGGACCGTTCCGCACCACCGACCACTGGCTCGCTCGTCCCCTCGCTCGTCCTCGTTCTCTCTCGGTTCAACTTCCCCCCCCCCCGCCCCCGTTTGGGCGTTGAAGGTTTTTTTTTATCTGTTTGTGCGGACAGCGCGGCTGATAGGAAGCGTTCCTTATCGACGACGCAGTTCTCTAAAGTGCGTGGGTTTTTTTCGTGTTCACCTTTTTACGATTGTAACAACCCCCACCCCCACCACCACCACCGCCCTCACCACACCAACCTCGCGCTCTCTGGCCGCTCGTGACGCACTGGGAGCCGCGCGTTTACAGCGCCGCGACTTTTGTTCTTTCTCGTCGGCTCGATCTATTTTAAACGCACCGAACGCGCATCGTCCTCGCTTGTTGGGCACGCTGCGGTGTTTGTATGCGGGTTACCAGGGGGATGGCCCATCCCCCTGGTAACTCGCAGAGAGAGAGGGAGAGAGCGAGAGAGGTCCAGAATTGGAGTCTTGTTTTAGCGACTGGAGGAATCCATCGCGCTCCGTGTCCAGCAGAGGTCGCAACCGGGTACCCGATACCCGTACCCTACCCGATACCCGGTAGCCGTTTGCGACCCTGGTGCGGCCGGGTACGGGCAGGTCGTGAGTCACTGGTGAGTCACCGTTTGTCACTCATTTACCAACGTCTTGTCTCTTCTCACAATTCAAGTTCCTAGAATCAACCCACCCGCGCCTGCAACATGGCTTCATCCCAGAGGTCTCAATCGGGTACCCGTACCCGTACCCTACCCGTACCCTACCCGTACCCTAACCGTACCCTACCCGTACCCTACCCGTACCCTACCCGTACCCGGCCGGGTACGGGTAGCCGGGTATCGGGTAGGGTACGGGTACCCGTTTGCGACCCTGGTGCGGCCGGGTACGGGTAAGGAATCAAAACCCGTTTGCGACCTCTGGTGTCCAGTGGGTCCGTGCTCTGCCCTTGCCGGGCCGAGGTTCGCGGCACGTCGCCTGGCATGGCGACTGTGGCAATGCGGCCCCGATACGATAACACGGAGCCTTTCTAGATTTGAAGCTTTCGTGACTGCAAGGATCCATACTCTTTGGTTTTTTCCGTAAAGGTCACGTAGGTTAAAAAGGAAAACAAATAAATTAAATGACGACGTTTCGGAGGCAACACAAGCTTCCGTCTTCAGGTGGAATTTTTCTGTGACGGTTCCACCTGGAGACGGAAGCTTGTGTTGCCTCCGAAACGTCGTGATTTAATTTATTTTGTTTTCTTTTTTAACACTGAGCCTCTACAACAAGAATCGGTGCTACGCGCTACACCTGGCCGTGCCACTCGCCACCCCTCTGGCCGTGCCACCGTGGCCAGGTGGATCTGCGGTGGTGCGAGCGGCTCGCCGTCGGAAGGTCGTGAGTTCAAATCCAAGTTTGAGGGGGTTGACCCAGCCCACCATCCCTCCGATAGCTGATAAATGAGAACCACTTTGGAGGGGGAGAGGGGAGTGGGGAGTCAATGTTGGTTGCTGCATGGTTAAACTCGCCAGCGTCATAGGAATGTGAACCTTCCACATTCCCACGACATTTCTTCCTAGGGAGGCCTTGACACCCTTACTAGGGAACCCGGGTTGGGTCAGATGGTGACCGATGATCATAGTCACCTCCTGCACCTCTTCGTGGCGATGACATCACCTCAATCTGTGAAGCAACGGCAATTGGCGCGTCTTTAACAACGCTTGCTGTGCGGCCAGCAATTAACGGCACGATGATCGGAGTCCTAACTGATAACGAGATCCGTGAACAGCGTCCCTTGGGTTGAGCGAGGTTGTTGTTATTGTTGTGAGAGCTTGGGGCAGTGGAAGAGACGATGGTAGTGGTGGTGGTGGTGATGCTCGTGGTGGTGGTGGTGATGCTTGTGGTGGTGTTGGTGGTGGTGGTGGTGATTGTGGGAGGAGGAGGGTATTCCAGAGTGGAGCAGTGCGAGGGAAGAAGCAGAGAGAGAAATGAGGTGACCTGCAGTGGGATGACTGGGTGGGTGACTAGGTGGGTGACTGGGTGGGTGACTGGGTGGGTGACTGGGTGGGTGACTGGGTGGGTGACTGGGTGGGTGACTGGGTGGGTGACTGGATTGGGTGACTGGGTGGGTGACTGGGTGGGTGACTGGGTGGGTGACTGGGTGGGTGACTGGGTGGGTGACTGGGTGGGTGACTGGATTGGGTGACTGGGTGGGTGACTGGGTGGGTGACTGGGTGGGTGACTGGGTGGGTGACTGTGTGAGTGACCGTCGTTGTAACTTGCCGACCCGCCCCCGACTTAGAACATCTGCAGTAAAAAACGAGAGGGCGTCATAGCTCGTCGGATTGTCTCCCAGGGTGTGAGTTAAAGATTCTGATGGAGGGTGAATTCCGTCCCGGTGGTGGGGACACGATTGGCACCAGGGGGCGGACAGCGCTGCAGCTGCGGCCACATCGAGTCACCGCTGGCTCGCTCGCTCGCTCCGTCACGGGAGCTCGTTTGCAAAAGCCGCTGGGGTTGTAGCAACAATGTCCATTCTACTTGTTGCACCCAGGATCCAAGGGCCATGTGTTCACCACCCCCCAAACGCCTGTTGCCGTATGGTGCCGTTTTATTGTCATTTGCTTGTCGTTTTTGAGCCCTTTCTGTGGGGTGGACTGTGCTATCGGTTAACTGCGTTATAAAAAAACTAAACTATAAACTAACATGAGAATAGGCTTTTCACCTTTTTTCTGGCAACAAAACAGCTGCGTTAAGTTGTTAAAACACCAAACTGAAACCTTTTACAAGGAATCATTTCTGCATTAACCACAATGCTTGTGGTCAGAATGCAAACAAAAACATTATCTGATAATATATGCATCTTCCTTGAAAGTGATTGGTCCACACCAGACGGCTTTCTGACCACAAGCATTGTGGTTAATGCAGACATGATTCCTTGTAAAAGGTTTCAGTTCGTTGTTTTAACATCTTAACACAGCTGCTTTGTTGCCAGAAAAAAGGGGAAAACCTATTCTCATATTTTGGTACTGGCAAAAGAGGTCCCATGATATAAACTAAGAATCATATTTTTAGTTTGCCAGGTGAGGCCCCGCTTAGCGATGTGGCCACAAATGATAGCTGAAGAAAGTGGCTTCTCATCATCACGTGGACATTTCTAGCAGCCAAATACTCTAAACGCGTGATAGTCGATTCTAAATGTGGAGGGGGGAAAACGGATGATCTGGAGGAAAATCCACACGAGCAGAAAGAGACAAACTCAAAATATACAGCAGCAGCAGCAGGCGTCGGGATCTGGATTGAACTCGCAACCTCCTGTTGTACACCAGGCGAGGTAGTTAACATCTCCTAGCCACCGTGGCGCCTGAATCACAGCAGCGTGCAAACCTGTATGTTGAGGAAGCCATGCCAGCCTTTGTGAGCGTGATTATAATAATAAGACAGCGTCTCATTCAGGCGCTATCTTTCCGACAGACCTGTTCTTCACCTGAGGACGGCTGCTTGCGTTGTGGCCGAATCGTCGTGAGAATTATTTTATTGTTTTATTTTTATTATTTTATTATTTCCCTTCTACGTGACTTTACCGAAAGAACCAAGAAAAATAATCATTCTATCGATCTAGCGGCTTTTTAATCAAGGATCTCAAAGTGCTGTACAGGACACGGCAGCAGTCGGCATCATAATAATTATATTATAAACACATTCTAAGAATAGATTCACAAAATGAACTAAAAGTTTAACAAGCGGAAGCGTATATATGCGTAAATCGGTTTAAAGACCAATTAAAAAGATGTCCACAGACTCTCTGAGAGAGAAGCCCCTTCTGATATCTCGTGCAAGACCGTTCCGTAGCCTACACGGGGAAAAGTCTCGGTCACCCATCGACCGAAGAAGCTTCGACCTGGGAATGCGGAGAGGAGATCTGCATCCCCCAGATGTTAGGGACTTTGAGCGGGGCGTAATGGGTGTAGGCTGGGGCAAGATGGTTCACTGCTTTAAGTTAACAATAAACTCGAGTGTGTGTGTGTGTGTGAAACTTGAAGGCAGTGCAGGGCAGGGAGGCTGCCCGGTTTAAATGTTCAGTTCGCGAGTCGCAGTGCCCAACGCTAGGGGCAGTGGCTTCAGAGGTTGGAATCCAACTCCACTTTTGTAAAGTGGTGGAGTTTGCGTCGAAAGAGATTTCATTGCTCTTACATGGTTTGTGTATCGTGTGTATCGTGTATGTAGCGTATAGTGTACATGTGTTGAACTTCTTTTGTACCGTACGTAGCCAACTCTGCTTATCGCAGGTGCCGGGGGAAGTAAGGCATCGGAGCTCGCCTGCCGTTTACAGCCCTGCAGAGCCAGCGGTGGGACATTCCACGTTCCCATGGCAGGGGTGGGGTTATCTGCAGTGTAACCACTCGCTTGCACCCCCCCCCCCCACTGCATACCGGGATGTGAGCTCAAGCCCTTCTGATTGCGAGGGGCATCTCGCTTTACCGCTGAGCCACCGAATGTCAAGTCAAGTGATGAAATGTTTTTGCTTAAACACCTGGGGGGGGGGGGGGGGGGCGCCTTGCTGGCACGAAGCTGCCACTTGCAAGCGCCATCGCAGAGTTTCCTCCTCATTATCGTCATGGTCGCGGTGTTCACAATCGATTCATATTTGCTGTGTAACTTGTTGACGTCGCCACACAGTGCTGATTGATTCGTTGTTTGTATATCCACCCGTGGAGATGCGAGAGGCTGAATTATAAAAAGTGTTCCCGTCTGCCCCGTCGTTTCAGAGAGTCCCGCCGGGAGCGACCGAGTCGGCGGGAGGAGCCACCGACCGCGGCCACGCGGGGAGCAACTCGCCGCTGACTACGCCACGTGCCACCGCGGTGAGCCGACGATGCGTGCCGATTGGCTCGGCGCGTACCGAGCGGTTCGGCGCATACCGAGTGGTTCGGTGCGTACCGAGCGGTTCGGTGCACGCGTGTGCCGATCCCTGCGAGGGTTGGGGCCCCGAGGGGGAGGACAACGAGGAGGACTCTCCCTCGCACTGGCCCGCAGAGGAGGAGGAGTCGTTGGGCCGCGAGGTTGATGGACGTGTGGCCCCCGTTCTGGGGTGTGTGTGTGTGGTGTGTCTGTGTGATGTGTGTGTGTCTCTGTGTGTCTGTGTGGTGTGTGCCTGTGTGGTGTGTGTGTGTGGTGTGTGTGTGTGGTGTGTGCCTGTGTGGTATGTGTGTGTGTGTGGTGTGTGCCTGTGTGGTGTGTATGTGTGTGGTGTATGTGGTGTGTCACTGTGGGGAGTGGTAGTGTAGTGGTTAGCGCTACGCTGCGCTACAAACCTGGCGACCCAGATGCGATTCCCGCTTACGGCCAACACCAGTGACGATTATCTGAACCGGTCCTGGGCCTCCCCTAGGTCGGCTCGACCTCAAATGAGTACCTGGTGCAGTGGTGTGTAAACATCGCCACTGGAGGAGACAAAGGCGGCCGGGCGTGGTGTTGGCCACCCACCCCCTCGTGTGCCGTGCCGGCCTTCACGGGTGCTGCTATTCGTGAACGACACTTGCCCCTGCAGTCTGTTGAGGCTACGCGGGAGATCTTTGTCTTGTGTGTGTCCTTCTGGAGCGGTGTGTTGACGTGTGGGTCTCTCTATCTCCAGGCTCTCTACCTATCTCTCTGTCGTCGCTGTGTGTCTCCAGGTATTTCGGTAATGAATGACATGAGGTGAATGATTACATAAATGGTTGCCAGTGCATTTAACAGGCCGTGTCCAGGGCGTGGAATTCCTCCTGTGGTTGACGTTGACTGTGATCACGGCTCTGGGTTTACATTGCGGTGGTTGATGATGATGATGAGGTGGTTGATGGGGATGATGATAATGATGATGATGATGTGGTTGATGGGGATGATGATAATGATGATGATGAGGTGGTTGGTGGGGATGATGATAATGATGATGATGAGGTGGTTGATGGGGATGATGATAATGATGATGATGATGTGGTTGATGGGGATGATGATGATGAGGTTGATGTTGATGATGTGGTTGATGATGATGATGAGGTGGTGGTTGATGGGGATGATGTTGAGGAGGTGGTGGATGATGATGAGGTGGTTGAAGAGCTGGATGGTGGCTCCTGCAACTCCCCTCTGCTCTGTCTCCCTGCCTCTGTCCATCACTCCGCTCCAACGAATTCAAAAGTCCTCACCGCTCCGTTTCACTCCCCCGTGTAACTCTCCCGTGTGACTCCCCCGTGTAAGGTGCCCTCTGTTACAGCCACTCACTCCTCGACCCTTGCTCTGCCCCTGCCATCTTGAATCGCCTCTCCTTGTCGTCCCCGCTCTCAACACGATGCAAAGCGCCGTGGGCTACGAAGGTGTCCTCTATAAATATAAAACACGATGAGGGGTAGGGAGTGCCGCTTCACCGCTGTGATGGTGCCTCCTTCTTAGAGTCTTAGGCAGTGGCGGCTCGTCAATAGAGGGCGCAGGGGCGCCGCCCCCATCAATATTCAAGAAATATAGATATACAAAATTAATATAAAAATACATAAATAAAATATTTTTTTCATACGATGTGCCGGCTGGTAGTAAGAAAAGCATCAGCATTTAATAAAAACTGTCTTTAATCGGTCAACTATGTTCTATGTTTTTCAATGTGTTTCATGCGGGGCGCCGGACAAATGGATGTCTATGTGAGACTTAAAATTTTCGGACAGCATGTGACCTGAAGCTGGTCTCTAATTGGTTTCTTGAAGATTCTCCTCGGGGCGCAAGTCGTTGCGTCCCTGGCCAATCAGAATTGGATACATGTTATTTTATCCAATCTGATTGGTTCTCGTCACCTGTCATTCAAATTTACGCTCTGGGCCACAACTGCGAGTGCGCAGGCGACACCACTTTGACACTTGCTAGGCTAATCAAATTTTTTGTGTAAACAATGGCAGCAGTTCATCCAAATTCTGTAATTTATTTACAAAAAAATCCTTTCACAAGGCTTTCGCTGGAAGAAATAAAAAAGATAAAGGATCTCGGACCGGACCAACCCGATTTACAAATCCAGCAGCAGGCCAGTGACAGAGGACGAAGCTACACACGAAGCTTCACCCGCGCTTGTTATGAGAAACGGAGGTGGGTGGCTGGATGTGATGTTAGCAATTCTCTTTTTTGTTTTCCCTGTCTTTTATTTCAAAGTGTCGGCACTGAAGTTTTGTGGACAACGACGGGGGTAAGAGACCTCAAACATCTCTCTGACAAATGCAAACGTCATGAAAGTAGCCGCAGCCATATTGATAATAGCATGAAACTAACGTTTTTATGTTCAAGTAGGAAACATGCTTTTTGGTACTTTAGTCTGAAATGTATATAAAAGAGAAACATTTATGTTCAAGTAGGAAACATGCTTTTTGGTACTTTGGTCTGAAATGTATATAAAAGAGAAACATTTATGTTCAAGTAGGAAACATGCTTTTTGGTACTTTGGTCTGAAATGTATATAAAAGAGAAACATTTATGTTCAAGTAGGAAACATGCTTTTTGGTACTTTGGTCTGAAATATATATAAAAGAGAAACATTTATGTTCAAGTAGGAAACATGCTTTTTGGTACTTCTTTTGGTCTGAAATGTAAATAAAGATCATCAAAATTTATATTCAAGTAGTCAAAATGGTTTTTGGTACTGCTTTATATTTATTTGCCCCCCTCAATAAAATAAAAAAATGCGCCCCCCCAAAAATAAATATCACCAGCCGCCACTGGTCTTAGGGTATCTGTTGTGGCTCGATAGCTCTGTGCGAGCCTTAGGGTCTCCATGTGAGTCTCTATCTCTGTGTGAGTCTTAGGGTCTCCATGTGAGTCTGTATCTTTGTGCGAGTCTATGGTTCTCTGTGTGAGTCTATAGTTCTCTGCGAGTCTATGGGTCTCTGTGTGAGTCTATGGATCTCTGTGCGAGTCTATGGTTCTCTGTGCGAGTCTATGGTTCTCTGTGCGAGTCTGTGAATCTCTGTGCGAGTCTGTGGATCTCTGTGCGAGTCTATGGGTCTCTGTGCGAGTCTTAGGGTCTCCGTGTGAGTCTATGGATCTCTGTGTGAGTCTTAGGGTCTCCGTGTGAGTCTATGGATCTCTGTGCGAGTCTTAGGGCCTCCATGTGAGTCTATGGATCTCTGTGTGAGTCTATGGATCTGTATCCTCCGCGTGGCTGATGTCGTTAATGCAAAGCAGCAGCTGTAGTTGTAGATCGAGGTGGTTCATAAAGCCACGTGATTGCATCTTGAATAGCGGGAGTGGTGAATCATCACTGCTGAGGTGATGATGATGATGCTGCCTTTGTACAGATCTCTGTGTGGGTCTTAGGGACTGTGGGTCTCAATGTGAATCCATAGATCTCTGAGTCTATGGGTCTCTATGCCAGTATATGGGTCTGTGCGAGTCTATAGATGATGACCCCTCCGTGTTTGTGAGTCCATGGGGGGCGCGGTGGCGAGACGTTAATTTCCTCACTTGGTATGCAGGAGGTCGTGGCTTCAATCTCAACCCTGATGCCTGCTGTATATTTGGAGTTTGCGTGTCTCTCTTTCCCCTTGGTTTGCCTGGATTATTCTCCGCATTCTACGGCTTTTCCCTCCATTTATAATCATGCTCATCGCCATCATCAGCTATCTGCATCATAATCGTCATCATCGTCATCATCATCAGCAGCTATCTGCATCATCATCGTCAGCAATCTGCATCATCGTTATTGTCGTCAGCTATCAACATAATCGCCATCATCAGCTATCTGCATCATAATCGTCATCATCGTCATCGTCCTCGTCAGCTCTCCGCATCGTCAGCTGTTGCCATGGTTGGTCCAGTGGACGATGGAGGCTGGAGGTCCCAGCCGGGGATCTTCAGCACCGTCGATGCAGACGCACGCAGACACTGCATCTCCGTGTCTGCGCGTGTCTTCGCGCCCGTGCGTGCGTCTGAACGTCTGTGCGTGTGCGTGGCCCGCAGACAAAGTCCCGGGGACGTCCTCTCTGCGCCGCGCGCCATGGAGCGCCGCACCACCGCCAAGCAGCTGTACGGTACGTGTGCGGCACGCGCCGACGGACAATGATAAATAAATAAATAAAGCGCCGCCCGTGTTTATAGCAACGCCGTCGCGGCTGCAGCGGTCGCTATTATCTCGTCGCGGGAGGCGTGGTAGCCGCCGCACCGTCAGGACGCGCCGCTTGGAGCGCCGCCGCCGCCGCCGCCGCCGGTTCTTGTCGATTTGGGGGTTTTGAAGCAGGGGGAGAGGGAGGATTGGTCCGGTGCGTGCGATGGGCATGTGTCTGTGGGGTGGTCGTGGTGGGACGTCGCTGACAGGTAAGGTTGTGCGTGCGCGCACGATTACGCACGCAAACAGCAACAACTACGACGGCTGCCACCATTCGCAACTGGGTGACGTCACCACGGCACTTGTGCCAGGCCAGGTGTGTGCTTTGAGGCCACGTGAAGTGTCGAAGGCTCGCTGACCGGAGGTGGTCACGGGACAGACCCAGGAGCCATGGGTTGACCAACTCGGATGACTGGCAGATGCGCCAGCTGTGCCCCCTATTGTGCTAATTTTCTGCGTTTTAGCCACCCGACGCTCCGCTCGTTGTTGTGAGCGTCGCTCCTCTGCCCGCTGTTGTTGCTGGTGGGCGACTGTCTCCAACTGCCCAGTAGCAGCAGCGTCCTTCACGAGCCTCCTCCATAGACACGTGCACACGCATGTGTGTGTACGTACACACACACGCACACGTGTGTGTGTGTGTACGTACACATCTGAAGTGGCTCGTCGCTGTGGGTCGGACGATGGGCGCCGTGGCTAACTGTGGGGCCTTGTGAGCTTGATGCAGGGCGGCAGCCGTGTGGGTGCTCCAGAGGGCGGCATGGTGGAAACATTCTCCCTCATAAAAGTTAAGCAAACCGCAATCCCAGCAAAACAGCAAAGAGACAGCCAGACATAGATCAGAGCAGAGAGACAGCAAGATGGAGATCTGAGCAGAGACAACTGCGTTACAGGAAACAAATAAATGCAATACACAATCAACAGTTGGAAGGAGATGCATCTGCTGTGACCATAATTGGCAAAATTCCTTTTGAAAAAGCCGTCCGGAGTGAATCCCAAGTTACAGATACGACCAAAACAATCGCCGCAGCCGCTCGAAGCTGCGGCACTCAAACCCGCGAGGGAGCTGCTCCCGGGGTTGGTGTCGCCGGCGTGCTCTGTGCGCCGCGTGGAGCTCGCTTGCACAGAGAGAGCGGGAGAGAGAGAGAGGCCTTTGTCTCTCTCTTTCCAGCGGCGGCGTCGTAAAGTTTCCGGGCGCGGCAGTGAGCGCCGAGACGTCTCGCGGTCGGGACCGCAATCGATTTTCTGCCGCGCACCGCAAAGTTTACCCACGTCGGCGCTAGACGGTGGCACGGGGTGGGGGGAGGTGGGGCGTTTGACACCGGTCCCCATCGGCGTTTGTCGCTCCGTCGCTCCGTCTGTCTCTCTGTCTCTCTGTCCGTCGGTTCGTCGGTTCGTCGGTCTGTCCGTTCATCCATCCCTTTGTCCGTCGTCCGTCCATTCACACGGTGGGTCATCATTGTCGCGACGAGGAGGACCCCTGACTGAACGCCGAGTAGCTGCCAGAGGGGGGAAGGGACTGCCTTGTGCGAAAAGTAGCGAACCGGTCCCGGGCCCTCGCCTAGGTCGACTCGGCCTCAAATGAGTAATCGGTGTGGTGTGTGAACGTCGCCACCGGAAGACAAAGGCGGTCGGGCGGGCATAGCGCTAACCACTCGCGCCCCCTCTCCTGCGGCACGGTGGCGGCCTCCATAGGTGCCGCTGCTCGCTACTAATAGCACTTGCCCCGACAGTCTGTCAGAGGCTTCACGGTAGGGGGGATCTTTGTCTTTTGTGTGAAAAGTGTTCCCCGAGGTGGAGGGAGCGCGCCGCGGCGAGGGCTCCACCGTTCCCACTCTGCGAGAGTCGCACACCGCCACCTGAGCTGGCTCGGTGGGGTCGGCAAACTAAAAACAACAAGAAGGGACATTGTTTTTTTTTATTCGAACTCTGTCACAAAACACAAACAACTCGCGTGATTCGAGAGCCGCGCCGTGCGGTGAACACGAGAGAGACGGTGGCGGTCCTCGATACATCGGCGACACGGAGCGAGCCTTGGAGAGCCCGCACGTGAGCCCTGACTTGGCCAGTGTCTCCGTAAAATAGCGATTGCCTCCCCCTCCCCCACTCGGTGTGGCTCTCCGTGTGGCTCTCCGTGTGACTCCCCCCCCCACTCCCCCCGCTATCCGCGGCCGTGCCCTGCCCCGTGACGTGAGGCCGTGCGTGGTGCTGTGTTGTCCCAACAGAGCAACGCAAGAACTATGCTCGCTCCAGCAACATCAAGGCCGAAACGGCACAGTACCACGTGGAGGTGAGCGCTGCGTTGCGTGGGTGTGTGCGTGGGTGTGTGCGTGGGTGTGTGCGTGGGTGTGTGCGTGGGTGTGTGCGTGGGTGTGTGCGTGGGTGCGTGTGTGTGCGTGTGCGTGGGTGCGTGTGTGTGCGTGTGTGCATGTGCTGCTGTGTGGACACGTGTGTGTGTGTGATTCGGTGTCCCGGTGTGGTGCTGGCCACCCTCCCCCTTCCTGTGCTGTGCTAGCCGCCATAGGTGGTGAGATGTTAACTACCTCGCCTGGTATACAGTGGGTCGTGGTTTCTATCCCGAGCCCGACGACGCCTGCTGCTGTATATTTGGAGTTTGCGTATTTGGCTGCTGCGACAGATATCCACGCTGACGATTAACCACTACGTGGAGCAGGCCATCAGCTCGCCTCCGAAAGAGAGCTACGAAGCTCGGTAGCGGGGCCTCGCACCTGGTGAAATGAAACTAGATTGCTGGCTGATATTTTAGTTCGTAATTGTATTTGTAGATCGCAGCTACCGAGAGCGCACGGTCCACCCCGCGGACAAGGCCCCAAAAAACGTCAAGCGGGCGACGCTCAGACGGCACCCGTCAAAGACGGCAACCAGGAGGAATGCGTGCACTTGCCCCGACAGCTTGTAGAAGGCTATACGGGGATGGAGGGATCTTTTGTCTGTGCTTTGTCACCGTAACCTCGTCCCGCCCCCCCCCCCAGCACCTCTCGACCTTTGAGATGGACCGCAAGGAGGGCCTTGTGAACCTGGAGGACGGCATCCGCCGCCTGCGCCTGCTGGACTCGACAGGCAAGATCTGGACGCAGGACATGCTGCTCCAGGTGGACGAGCGCTCCGTGTCGCTCGTGGACATTGAGAGCAAGGTGGGGGTACCCCCCAACACCCCCCCCACCCCCTCCACTAGGTCCCCCCCCCCGTCACTCAGAGTGAGTGAGTGGAGTTTGTGTGATCTCCCCCTGTTCTACAGAGTGAGTGGAGTTTGTATGATCTCCCCCTGTTCTACAGAGTGAGTGGAGTTTGTATGATCTCCCCCTGTTCTACAGAGTGAGTGGAGTTTGTATGATCTCCCCCTGTTCTACAGAGTGAGTGGAGTTTGTGTGATCTCCCCCTGTTCTACAGAGTGAGTGAGTGGAGTTTGTATGATCTCCCCCTGTTCTACAGAGTGAGTGGAGTTTGTATGATCTCCCCCTGTTCTACAGAGTGAGTGAAGTTTGTGTGATCTCCCCCTGTTCTACAGAGTGAGTGGAGTTTGTATGATCTCCCCCTGTTCTACAGAGTGAGTGGAGTTTGTGTGATCTCCCCCTGTTCTACAGAGTGAGCGGAGTTTGTATGACCTCCCCCTGTTCTACAGAGTGAGTGGAGTTTGTATGATCTCCCCCTGTTCTACAGAGCTAGTGAGTGAGTGGAGTTTGTATGACCTCCCCCTGTTCTACAGAGCGAGTGAGTGGAGTTTGTATGATCTCCCCCTGTTCTACAGAGCGAGTGAGTGGAGTTTGTATGATCTCCCCCTGTTCTACAGAGTGAGTGGAGTTTGTGTGATCTCCCCCTGTTCTACAGAGTGAGTGGAGTTTGTATGATCACCCCCTGTTCTACAGAGTGAGTGGAATTTGTATGACCTCCCCCTGTTCTACAAAGTGAGTGAGTGGAGTTTGTATGATCTCCCCATGTTCTACAGAGCGAGTGAGTGGAGTTTGTGTGATCTCCCCCTGTTCTACAGAGCGAGTGAGTGGAGTTTGTGTGATCTCCCCCTGTTCTACAGAGCGAGTGGCGTTTGTATGATCTCCCTGTTCTACAGAGCGAGTGAGTGGAGTTTGTATGATCTCCCGCTGGCGAACGCCGCGTGACTCCGTGTGTGTCCGTGCGTTCCCAGGAGGAGCTGGAGAACTTCACGCTCGTCTCCATCATGTCGTGTCAAGCGGTGCTCACGGAGCCCAACTACAGCTCCATCCTGGCGCTCACGTGCACCGACGTGGGCCAGGCCAGGCCAGACCTGCACCTCTTCCACTGCGTCGAGGTTGGGGTGAGTGATCGCCGTCGCGTCCGCACCGGGCCGCAATCTCTCCGCACTGTTGGCCACTCACGTACGGTGCGAAGGAAGTTCAACGTCCAGACAGACAAAACAAAGACCAATGGTCCGTTGAGACGATACGAGGCGGGGGGGGATATTTGGTTAGCGCAGCACGCGAACCGCTACGCGACCATACTCTTTGGTTCTTTCGGTAAAGTCACGTAGGTAGAAAAATAAAATTACAAAATAATATATCACGACGTTTCGATCGCAACACAGGCGGTCGTCCTCGGATGGAATTTTATTTTTATCCAGCAGTGGAGCTGCTGAGCCAGCGAGAGAGCTGTTACAACAAGAGGTTATTTACGTGGCGATGGGCAAGCAAGCGGGGTCTGAGCTGGGAAGGAATTCCATCCCCGCACGCAAGCACGTCAGTTGTGTTAATGGGGGAGGTTAGGGAGAGAGATTAGCATGAAATGAGCTTCCGTCGCCGCATTAGAGTGTCGTCCCCGCATATGCGACCGCTCAATTTGTATCGCACTGCAAGGAAAACGATCACCCCTCCGATAGCCTCCAACAGACTTGGGCCAAGTGCTGTTAGCGAGGTAGCAGCACCTAATGAAGGCCGGCACGGCACAGGAGGGGTTTGGTGGACAGCAACCACGCCCGGCCGCCTTTGTCTCCCTCGAGGCGATGTTTACACACACAAAAATAATTGGGGTGATGAGCTCGGGCCCGAAGTCCCAGAAACATCGTCATCGTTATCATCATCATCCCGGAGAGGACGAGTAAAATGCGTACTACTTTGTGGGAAAATCATCAGTGGATTGACGAGCCCCCTGTCCCCCCTCCCCTATCACTACCTCAACCCCTATCAGTACTTCAACCCCTATCACTACCCCAACCCCTATCACTACCCCAACCCCTATCACTACCCCCAACCCCTATCACTACCCCAACCCCTATCACTACCCCAACCCCTATCACTACCCCAACCCCTATCACTACCCCAACCCCTATCACTACCCCTGCCCCTATCACTACCCCAACCCCTATCACTACCCCAACCCCTATCACTACCCCTACTCCTATCACTACCCCTACCCCAACCCCTATCACTACCCCAACCCCTATCACTACCCCAACCCCTATCACTACCCCTACCCCAACCCCTGTCACTACCCCTACCCCAACCCCTATCACTGCCCATATCCAACCCCTATCACCACTCATAACCCAACCCCCATCACTACCCCTATCACTACCTCAACCCCTACCACTACCCCAACCCATACCCCTCCTTCACCACTCCCACCTGTCCTCCTCACCGTCACCATGACGACACCACCACTTCGAATAACAACCACGGCCCACTCTTCGCCTCGCGTAAAACATTATTTACTGCCGCAAGGCGACCTTGGGTTGTACGGCGCTGCTGTAATAATACATCCGTGCGAGATAAGATAAGTACCCGGTCCCCATCCAAGCCCGTAGAGAGAGTGAGAGAGAGCGTGAAGCTGTCTCTGTTGCACCAATCACCTGCCAGCTCACCTGCCAGCTCACCTGCCAGCTCATCTGCCAGCTCACCTGCCAGCTCACCTGCCAGCTCAGCTGCGCTTCTCCGTGACCCTGAAAGTCCGTCCCCATGCCTCCCTTGACCGGCCTGTTGCCACGACCGCCGCCAGCGGGGAGCAGAGGTCGCAAACGGGTTTTGATTCCTTACCCGTACCCGGCCGCACCAGGGTCGCAAATGGCTACCCGTACCCGTACCCGGCCGGGTACGGGTAGCCGGGTATCGGGTAGGGTACGGGTATCGGGTACCCGGTTGCGACCTCTGGCGGGGAGTGGCTGGCGGGCGGCAGCGCGTCGACCCAAGCGAGCGTTGCTCCCTCGACGTCCGGTCTCCCGGCTGTGAATTTGCAACGATCCGACTTGTTTTGTTTCCGTGTGTATATATATATATATATATTCGTATACAGCGTCGTAATTCGTGCCAATTTGCTTGACGACGAGCGTGGGGTAGGGGAAGGGCAGCAGCGTCAAGCGGCGCTGCCAACGATTCGCCAAGCTCTGTGATCCTATAACTATAAACTAAAAATATGTTTTTGTGATTTAGCCAGGTGAGGCCCTGCACTGAGCTGATAGGTCACTTTGTTTTTGTTCGAAGCGACCTGGCCATCACAAAGGACAGCCTCAACGAAAGTGGCTTGTCGTCATCATCATCGTGTGGACATCTATAACGGCAGCCAAATACATTTCGATGTAAAGCTTTCGTGACTGCAGGGATTTATATTCTTGTTTTTTATTATTTCCCTTCTACGTGACTTTACCGAAAGAACCAAGAATAGGAAGCCAGATACTTGTGAACGCGTGACATCGATTCTAAATCTGGAGGGGAGAAACCGGAGGACCGGAGAAAAATACACACGACCACGGGGAAAACACGCAGACTCCATATATACAAGGGTCGGGATCGAGCCCACGACGACCTCGTGCGTACCAGGCGAGGTAGTGAACACCTCCTGGCCACCGTGGTGGTGATGTTTGCTCGCAGGCTGAACTGATCAAGAACGACATCGACAGCGCCATCGCCGACAGCAAGGACGGTCGCAAGAACCGGCGGCCCGAGACTCTGAGGTTGGTGGTAGGGGCAGCTGTAGGGGCAGCTGTAGGGGCAGCTGTAGGGGCAGCTGTGGGGCAGCTGTAGGGGCAGCTGTAGGGGCAGCTGTAGGGGCAGCTGTAGGGGCAGCTGTAGGGGCAGCTGTAGGGGCAGCTGTGGGGCAGCTGTAGGGGCAGCTGTGGGGCAGCTGTGGGGCAGCTGTAGGGCAGCTGTAGGGGCAGCTGTGGGGCAGCTGTGGGGCAGCTGTAGGGGCAGCTGTAGGGGCAGCTGTGGGGCAACTGTAGGGGCAGCTGTAGGGGCAGCTGTAGGGGCAGCTGTAGGGACAGCTGTAGGGACAGCTGTAGGGACAGCTGTGGGGCAGCTGTAGGGGCAGCTGTGGGGCAGCTGTAGGGGCAGCTGTGGGGCAGCTGTAGGGGCAGCTGTAGGGGCAGCTGTAGGGGCAGCTGTAGGGGCAGCTGTGGGGCAGCTGTAGGGGCAGCTGTGGGGCAGCTGTGGGGCAGCTGTAGGGGCAGCTGTAGGGGCAGCTGTAGGGGCAGCTGTAGGGGCAGCTGTAGGGGCAGCTGTAGGGGCAGCTGTAGGGGCAGCTGTAGGGGTTAGCTGTAGGGGCAGCTGTAGGGGCAGCTGTGCTGACTGGGGACATAGGTGGAGAGAGTGTCTGGGCCGCTGTGGTGGGTTAGGAAGTGTGAGGCTGTAACACAAGACCCCTCCAAACGCTCTTGTGGCCTTAGAACTCCTCCGATTAGTACGTTTGGCTACATACGGTGCGAAAAAAGTTCAACACACACACGTACACACGTGTACAGGTGTGCACGGAGCCTGCTAAGGATTTCATGGCAGTATATAGGGTAAACAACTTGTAGGTTGGAAATAGGAGGTAGTGATGGGTGGGACACGTGGTGTGCAGGGTGGAGGAGGTAGTGATGGGTGGGACACGTGGTGTGCATGGCGGAGGAGGTAGTGATGGGTGGGTCACGTGATGTGCAGGGCGGAGGAGGTAGTGATGGGTGGGTCACGTGGTGTGCAGGGCGGAGGTAGTGATGGGTGGGTCACGTGGTGTGCAGGGTGGAGGAGGTTGTGATGGGTGGGACACGTGGTGTGCAGGGCGGAGGAGGTAGTGATGGGTGGGACACGTGGTGTGCAGGGCGGAGGAGGTAGTGATGGGTGGGACACGTGGTGTGCAGGGCGGAGGAGGTAGTGATGGGTGGGACACGTGGTGTGCAGGGTGGAGGAGGGTAGTGATGGGTGGGTCACGTGGTGAGCAGGGCGGAGGTAGTGATGGGTGGGACACGTGGTGAGCAGGGCGGAGGTAGTGATGGGTGGGACACGTGGTGTGCAGGGTGGAGGAGGTTGTGATGGGTGGGACACGTGGTGTGCAGGGTGGAGGAGGTAGTGATGGGTGGGTCACGTGGTGAGCAGGGCGGAGGTAGTGATGGGTGGGACACGTGGTGAGCAGGGCGGAGGTAGTGATGGGTGGGTCACGTGGTGTGCAGGGTGGAGGAGGTTGTGATGGGTGGGTCACGTGGTGAGCAGGGCGGAGGTAGTGATGGGTGGGACACGTGGTGTGCAGGGTGGAGGAGGTAGTGATGGGTGGGTCACGTGGTGACCAGGGCGGAGGAGGTAGTGATGGGTGGGACACGTGGTGTGCAGGGCGGAGGTAGTGATGGGTGGGACACGTGGTGTGCAGGGCGGAGGAGGTAGTGATGGGTGGGTCACGTGGTGAGCAGGGCGGAGGTAGTAATGGGTGGGTCACGTGGTGAGCAGGGCGGAGGTAGTGATGGGTGGGACACGTGGTGTGCAGGGCGGAGGAGGTAGTGATGGGTGGGTCACGTGGTGAGCAGGGCGGAGGTAGTGATGGGTGGGACACGTGGTGTGCAGGGCGGAGGAGGTAGTGATGGGTGGGTCACGTGGTGTGCAGGGCGGAGGAGGTAGTGATGGGTGGGTCACGTGGTGAGCAGGGCGGAGGTAGTGATGGGTGGGACACGTGGTGAGCAGAGCGGAGGAGGTAGTGATGGGTGGGACACGTGGTGTGCAGGGCGGAGGAGGAGGTAGTGATGGGTGGGACGCGTGGTGTGCAGGGTGTCACGCGTGCCACTGCGGCTTTACCACAACCTTGCGGCGCGCCCGGCCCCGTGGCGTGTCCGCCGGTGATGTCGCGGCAATCCCAATGCCGCCACGGCGTTCGGGGCCTTTCTCTCTCCCCCTCCGCCCCTCCGACTCTGGCCGAGCGTCAGCGTCGCTCGCGGAGATCCACCGCCCCCTGGTGGCTCCCCGAGCCAGGACACTCTAGAACAGGGGTCGGCAACCTACGGCTCCGGAGTCGCATGCGGCTCTTTATGGGCTGCTTCTTGACGATATGTACGTATGTACATAGATGCATTGCGGCTCTTGAAATACTGAATTTTGTACCGAATTGGAAAGAAATGGCTCTTCTTGTTATTTTGGTTGCCGACCCCTGCTCTAGAAGGAATCTTTTTCATTTCGCTCGACTCTTTCACCTGAATAGCACCCTGGTGAGGGCCCCCACTGAGCTACGTAATGTCGCTCCTGTTTGCGGAAGCGACCTGTCTGTCGCAAACGATAGCGCGACGGAAGGTGCGGCTCGTCGTCGTCGTCTGGATATTTATGGCAGCGGCCAAATGACTCCTACAGGCGTGGTGACGTCCATTCTTAAATGTGGAGGGGGGGGCGGGGGAAAAGCGGAGGACCCGGAGAAAAATCCACGTGACCACTGGGAGAGAGCGAGACACCGCGAAAAAATACAGCAGGCGTCAGGGTCGGTAACGAACCCACGACGTTCTGTATACCAGGCGAGGTAGTTAACATATCCTAGGCACCGCGGTGATGATGATGAGAGAGAGCGAGACACGCAAGCTCCAAATAGACAGCAGCAGGCGTCGTCAGGGTTGGGATCGAACCCACGACCTCCTGTACACCAGGCTGCAGCATCAGCAAGAGCTACTTATCCGAGTCTCACTCGATCATTTTAATTTGCAAATGCGGCCGGGCATGGCGCTGGCCAGCACCCACCCAGCTCCTTCCCTCGTGTGCCGCCGTGTGCCGGCCTTCGTAGGCGCCGCCACTCGCTACTGACGGGCTTCTTGGGGTGGTCGGTATGTGGTGTGTGTGTGTGGTGTGTGTGTTGTGTTGTGGTGTGTGTGGTGTGGTGTGTGTGGTGTGGTGTGTGTGGTGTGTGGTGGCGGTGGTGGTGCAGGTTCAACCAGGAGCGCATGAGGATGAGTCCGTCGCCGGCGCCGGGAGCGGCGAGCATCTACTCGGAGAGCCACTCACCAGCTTCCAACCGCAGCCGCACGCCCAACGACTCGAGCACACTGGACAGAGGTACGGCGGAGGCCTCGCGCGTGTTACATGCGTGTCACACGCGTGTCATTCACACGAGACTCGCACGGCACTCTTGCCAACACGTGGAGACGTTCAGAATCATCAGGCGCGGGTAATTAGTGGGGGTGTGTAATCTGTGTCTCTGTGCGCGTGTGTCTCTGTGTGCGTGTCTCTGTGCATGCGTGTCTCTGTGCATGCGTGTCTCTGTGTGTGTGCGTGTATCTGTGCGTGCGTGTGTCTGTGCGTGCGTGTCTCTGTGCGTGCGTGTCTCTGTGCGTGCGTGTCTCTGTGCGTGCGTGTGTATCTGTGTGCGTGTGTCTCTGTGTGCGCGTGTCTCTGTGTGTGCGTGTCTCTGTGTGCGTGTCTCTGTGTGTGCGTGTGTATCTGTGTGTGTGTATCTGTGTGTGTGTCTCTGTGTGCGTGTGTATCTGTGTGCGCGTGTCTCTGTGGGTGCGTGTGTATCTGTGTGTGCGTGTCTCTGTGTGCGTGTCTCTGTGCGCGTGTCTCTGCGTGCGTGTCTCTGTGTGTGCGTGTGTATCTGTGCGCGTGTCTCTGTGCGCGTTACCGTGTCGCTGCTCAGATTCGGACCGCTTCAGCGTCTACTCGCAGGATTCTGATGAGACTCCGGAGATGATGGCCAAGAGGGTGGACAGAGACGTGGTGAGGCCCCAGTACACGCACACCGCACACCACACCACACCGCACACACCACACCACACCACACACACACATACACCACCACACACCCACATACACCACCACACACACACAAACACCACACACACACACCACACCACACACCACACGCACCACACACACACCACACACACTCACCACACCACGCACTCCACTCACCCTCCCCACGTGGTCAACCCCCCCTCCCCCGTCTCCACCGAACGTTCGCAGCAAATCCTGAACCACCTGCTGGACGACATTGAGCTGTTCGTGGCGCGCCTGCAGAAGTCTGCGGAGGCCTACGGGGAGCTGAGCAAGCGCAAGAAGGAGAAGAAGGGGAAGCGGAAGGGCGGTGAGCAACGGTCGCGGTGCCGGGCGACGCGCCGTGTGACGGAGCTCCGTGCCGTGTGACGGAGCTCCGTGCCACTCTGCTACCCATGTGACGGAGCTCTGTGTTGTGTGACGTGGTGTGTGACGGAGCTCCGTGCCGTGTGACGGAGCTCCATGCTGTGTGACGTGGCTTGTGACGGAGCTCCGTGCCGTGCGACGGAGCGCCATGCTGTGTGACGCGGCTTGTGACGGAGCTCCGTGCCGTGCGACGGAGCTCCATGCTGTGTGACGCGGCGTGTGACAGAGCTCTGTGCTGTGCCCTTCGCCAGAGGGGGTGCTCACGCTGCGCTCCAAGCCACCACCTCCAGGAGAGTTCCGGGAAATCCTGCAGAAGTTCAAATACTGCTTCAATCTCCTGGTGCGTGCACTCCCCCATTCAGCTACCCACTCAGCTACCCACACTCACCCCCGGCGACCCACTCAGCTACCACACTCACCCACTCAGCTACCCACACTCACCCACCTCAGCTACCCACACTCCCCCCACTCAGCTACCCACCCAGCTACCCACACTCACCCACCCGGCGACCCACACTCACCCACTCAGCTACCCACCCAGCTACCCACACTCACCCACCCCGGCTACCCACACTCACCCACTCAGCTACCACCCAGCTACCCACACTCACCCACCCAGCTACCCACACTCACCCACTCAGCTACCCACCCAGCTACCCACACTCACCCACCCGGCTACCCACACTCACCCACTCAGCTACCCACACTCACCCACCCGGCTACCCACACTCACCCACCCGGCTACCCACACTCACCCACCCGGCTACCCACACTCACCCCACTCGGCTACCCACATCACCCACTCAGCTACCCACACTCACCCACCCAGCTACCACACTTCACCCACTCAGCTACCCACACTCACCCACTCAGCTACCCACCCGGCTACCCACACTCACCCACCAGCTACCCACACTCACCCACTCAGCTACCCACCCAGCTACCCACACTCACCCACCCAGCTACCCACACTCACCCACTCAGCTACCCACTTTCACCCACTCAGCTACCCACGCGTAGCTGAGTGCGCTGACTGGATGTGCCTCGTTTTGCGTTGTGCAGGCGCGGCTCAAAGGCCACATCCAGAACCCCGACTCCATTGAGCTCGTCCACTTCCTGTTCACGCCCCTGGAGATGGTGGGTGGACGGCTCCCTTGGGGGCGGCGGAGGGGGGGGTGCGAGTCTGAGTGTGTGGGTTGAGTGCGAGGTGAGTGCGGTGTAGTGAGGTGAGTGCAGTGTGAGTGTGCGTGCGAGGTGAGGTGAGTGCGTGCGAGGTGAGTGAGCGCGAGGTGAGTGAGCGTGTGTGAGGTGAGTGTGCGTACGTGTGAGTGTGCGAGGTGAGTGTGCGTGCGAGGTGAGTGTGCGCGCGAGGTGAGTGAGTGTGCGTGCGATGTGAGTGGTGGTTCAGTGGCCTTGGCTCTACGAATACGGAGAGGCGAGTGGCGAGTGGTTGGTGTGGGTGGCGTGGGTGGCGTGGGTGGCGTGGTGAAGTATGGTCAAACATCAACTCCCCCCCCCCCCCCCGTCCACCTCCGTGGCCGTAGTAACGCGACGTCTAGAGAGGCCTTCATCCAGCAGTGGATTGACGAAGGCCTGGGGATGACTGTTACTTGAATAGAAATGGTTGTCACCTGAGATGTGGTCTGTGTGCGTGTGTCTGTGTGTGTGTCTGTGTGTGTGTGCGTGAAGTGTCTGTATGCGAGCGTCTCTGTGTGTGTGAGTGTATGAGTGTCTGTGTGTGAGTGTGTGTGTATGAGTGTCTGTGTGCGAGTGTCTGTGTGTGAGTGGTGGGTGAGTGGCGGCATAGCGGTTCCGTGCCTGCGGCCATCAACGCCGATGACGATTATCTGAACCGCTCCTGGGCCTCCCCTAGGTCGACTCGGCCTCTAATGAGTACCCGGTGCGGTGCGTAAACCTCGTCGCTGGGGAGACAAAGGTGGCCGGGCGTGGTGCTGGCCACCCACCCCCTCGTGCACCTTGCTGGCCTCCGTAGGCGCCGCTCGCTTAACAGCACTTGCCCCGACAGTCTGTTGAGGCTACACGGGGGATCTTTGTCTGTGCCCGTTCCCAGGTGGTGCAGAGCACGGGGGACCCGACCTGGCGCGCCTCATCACGAGCCCGCTGCTGACGCGCGACTGCATCGACATGCTGCACGGCTGCCTCACCGCCAAGGAGAGGGAGCTGTGGAAGTCGTGCGGGGACGCGTGGAACAAGTCCAAGTGGGTCGCTCGCCCTCACACGCTCACTCACGCTCACACGCTCACTCACACGCACTCTCTCTCCCAGGCACACGCTCGCTCGCACGCTCTCTCGCTCTCACATGCACTCTCTCTCCCAGGCACACGCTCTCCCTCTCACGCACATGCTCGCTCGCCTTCTCACGCACACGCTCGCTCACATGCGCTCGCTCACACGCTCTCACACGCACACGCTCTCCCTCTCACCCATGCACTCGCTCACTCGCCTTCTCACCCACGCACTCGCTCACGCGCTCGCTCACACGCTCACACGCTCGCTCACACGCACGCTCTCCCTCACCCACGCACTCGCTCACACGCGCTCACACGCGCTCGCTCACACGCTCAAGCACGCTGGCGTGCACGCTCTCATCACTCTCCCACGCACACACTCGCTCACACAAGCACACGCACCTGCTCGCACACGCACGTACGCGGACGCATGCAACGCGCGCGCATGCACACGCGCAGCCACGGGTGATTTATACCCCTGGACAGACGAGCAAATCGCTCTCTGTCCGCGTGCCCTCCGCGTGCCGCACGTCTCACCGGTCGCCCCGTGCTGCCCTCTCCACGTGCCCCCCCCCCACCAGGGCGGAGTGGCCCAGGGACCAGCACGTGCCGCCCTACGTGCCGCGCTTCCGCAGCGGCTGGGAGCCGCCGCTGCTGGACGTGCCGGTGCGCGAGCGCGAGCGGGAGCGCGCCCGCGAGCACGTGGCGGAGCTCGCCGACGGCAGGGGGGGGGCGCCCCCCGCCCACCACTACAACGAGCCCCCCTGGATGCACAGCGAGGTCGGTCGAGTCGCTCGCTCGGGGGGTTCCATCCCCACACCGGGGCGAGTGGAGGGGGGGTGCCTGTTGTGCGGGTGCATGTGTGCGTGTGTTTAGAGGTGTGTGTGTGTAGAGGTGTGTAGAGGTGTGTAGAGGTGTGTGCGTGTGTGGAGTCGGTCCAGTGTGTTCACTCGGCCCTGTTCTACAGAGTGTGGGGAGTGTTCATCGTAGAGTTAGTCTGAGTGAATGATTGATTGTCAGTCTGAGTGTTAGTGCGAGTGACTAAGTGTCAGTCTGAATGAGTGTTGGTGCGAGCGAGTATCAGTCTGAGTGTCAGTGAGCGAGTAGAATTTGCGCGTTCATCTCTCTCCCCGTGGTGGTGGCGTGGATCTTTTCCGGGGTTCCTCTCCGCGTTTGTAAACAACGCTCATTCTCAAACCTCTCTGGCCGCTGCTCTAAATCCCCCACGTGTCATGAGCCACTACGATGACGACGAGCTCATCTCCCGCGTGTGAACAAACACATTCATAGGTGGTTACCGTCTCTGGCAATAACACTTGAGGTGTGATGATGTTCAAACACCAAATAGATTCCATTTGTAAAGTTCGCCTTTAGGCCTTAAAGCAGGCTGCCTCAGTTTAAACACCAATGCCCATATATTATAATGATAACTACGAGAGCCGTGTGTGTGTGTGTGCATGTTCACCACAAGTACTGACTGTGTGGTGGTTAATGCAGTCACTTGATTCGATGCTAAACGTTCCCATTTGGTGTTTGAACACCTGAACACAACTCCTCTTGTTTCCAGAAAGCGTGAACACTTATTATTTTAGTGTCATTTCTTTCTTAATATTTCTCTACCCACGTTACTTTACCGAAAGAACCAAAGAGTATGGATCCCTGCAGTCACGAAAACTTCAAATCTAGATTTTTTGATCCTGGAATAAAAAGGTTCCATTTGTAATCTGCACGTGTGGCCGGATTGGCCTCCGGATCTGAACCGGTGGTATCCCAGCGTTGGGGGGTGGGGGGGGGGGGGGGTGGGGACCGGCTTCACCGCGGTAAATAAAACGGCACATCTCCTCTAGTTGGGTTGGCGCCCCTGAGACTCGGAGCACTTTAGGTAATTGCCTGCGCCCGCTCGCTTAGCGCGGAGCCCCGGGAAGGCGGGAGCCGTCATGTTTCCCGCAAGCGCCGTGCACAGCCGCGGAGAAGTGCGGCGCATCCACCGGGGAGCTCCAGAGTCTGCCAAACCGATCGCCGTGAATTCTGTCAAAGAGCTTTGGCGGAATGGAGGAGACGAGCATGATTGAGGATGATTGATGATGATTGAGGATGATGATGATGAGGGGAGGAGGGAATTCCAAGGAGTGGAGCAGAGAGAGATGTGGTTGTGACCTGCAGCATATTGAGTGGGTGGGTGGCTGAGTGAGTGGGTGGCTGAGTGGGTTGGTGGCTGGGTGGCTGAGTGGGTTGGTGGGGTGGATGGCTGAGTGGGTGGGTTGGTGGGTGGGTGGCTGAGTGGGTTGGTGGGTGGGTTGGTGGCTGGGTGGCTGAGTGGGTTGGTGGGTGGATGGCTGAGTGGGTGGGTTGGGTGGGTGGGTGGCTGAGTGGGTGGGTTGGTGGGTGGGTGGCTGAGTGGGTTGGTGGGTGGGTTGGTGGGTGGCTGAGTGGGTGGGTTGTTGGGTGGGTGGCTGAGTGGGTGGGTGGCTGAGGGGTGGGTGGCTGAGTGGGTGGGTTGGTGGGTGGCTGAGTGGGTTGGTGGGTGGTTTGGTGGGTGGGTGGCTGAGTGGGTTGGTGGGTGGGTTGGTGGGTGGGTGGCTGAGTGGGTTGGTGGGTGGGTGGCTGAGTGGGTTGGTGGGTGGGTGGCTGAGTGGGTTGGTGGGTGGGTGGCTGAGTGGTTGGTGGGTGGGTGGCTGAGTGGGTGGGTTGGTGGGTGGCTGGTGGGGTTGGTGGGTGGTTTGGTGGGTGGGTGGCTGAGTGGGTTGGTGGGTGGGTTGGTGGGTGGGGTGGCTGAGGGGGTTGGTGGGTGGGTTGGTGGGTGGGGTTGGTGGGTGGGGTTGGTGGGTTGGGTGGCTGAGTGGGTTGGTGGGTGGGTGCTGAGTGGGTTGGGTGGGTAGCTGAGTGGGTTGGGGTGGTTTGGTGGGGTGGGTGGCTGAGTGGGTGGTGGTAAGTGGCTGAGTGTCGTTGTACCTCTGCCCCCGCAGCCCGACGGTGCGGCCCACCTCCCCACCGCTACGTCGCCTTCGGACAGCCGGACCCCTACCATCACGGCCTGCTGCGCCGCCCAGGCGACCGGGTGACCCACGACCCCCCCCCCCCCTCTCACACCCACCCCCCCCCACGTCTCTCTCACCACCCCCCCCCACGTCTCTCTCACCACACCCACCCCCCACGTCTCTCTCACCACCCCCCCCCCCCACGTCTCTCACTCACCACACCCCCCCCCCACGTCTCTCTCAACCCCCCCCCCCCCCCCCACGTCTCTCTCACCACCCCCCCCCACGTCTCTCTCACCACCCCCCCCCCACGTCTCTCTCACCACCCCCCCCACGTCTCTCTCACCCCCCCCCCGTCTCTCCACCACCCCCCCACGTCTCTCTCACCCCCCCCCCCCACGTCTCTCTCACCCCCCCCCCCCCCACGTCTCTCTCACCCCCCCCCCACGTCTCTCTCACCCCCCCCCCCCCCCAGTCTCTCTCACCCCCCCCCCCCCCACGTCTCTCACCCCCCCCCCACGTCTCTCTCACCCCCCCCCAGCTCTCTCACCCCCCTCCCCACGTCTCTCTCTCACCCCCCCCCCCCCTCTCACCACCCCCCCCCCACGTCTCTCTCACCCCCCCCACGTCTCTCACCCCCCCCCCACGTCCTCTCACCCCCCCCCCCCGTCTCTCTCCACCCCCCCCACGTCTCTCTCACCCCCCCCCCCAGTCTCTCTCACCCCCCCCCACG